GGAAAGGGAAATACCGATCGCAATTATAAAAGAAGTGTCTAACGCAGGCTTTTTACACGCTTCTAATGACCGGATGAAGTGTCTTGCTTTGAAACGCACGTTTTCCATCAGAAAACAGGGCAGACTAAGGTCAGCAAGGTGTGTACACATTTCTTCAAGTCAAAGGCTGATTTAAAGTCCCTAGGGGTACTCCCCTATATAAGCCATATAAGTTTGTGCCGCCCTAAAGGGTAGGGTTTTGCGCCGTTTTGGTCTGAAAACCGGTATGGTTTTCAAGGGAACCACGGGAGTGTACGAATGTATTATTGTTTCAATTCCAGATGAGTAAGAAACGAAACAGAAATATGCGAATTCCAAATGGATTTTGAGAAATCTTTTTTTGTTACTGTTCTAATCTAAGTAATGATGACATAATTTCTTTAAGGCCAGGTCTGAGAATGGGTATGGATTTTAGAGTTTAGGTCAGAAAACGGGTGTGAAAAATGGCATTTTTTGGTCTGAAATAAGGTCAGGATTTGGAGACCCGGGCGGCACACCCCCCACCAAGAATTCCCAGGAGTAACCCCCGGGTTTAAAGTCTTCTAACTCATTTATGTTATGGGAATAAGGGTCAGCCCGAATCAGTCTATGCTGATACCCATTCCGAATTCAGTTTTTTATACTACAATGTTAACATTAGCCTCCCACGCAGACGTTCTTAGGGGTTCGTGACGAACCCCTAAGAACGGGTGCGTGGGCGGCTATGTTAACACAGAAAACAACGCCAGACAAGAGAGCAAAACATGTCGGTAGTACGGTGAGAAATTTAATGAAACAAAGAGCCAGAAATCACTGAAATACGATGGTGTCCAAAGTAATTTTATTTTCGACGTCATCGCTTTTTGCTAAGTACTGAAGGAACGAGAGTTCGAAATTTAGTGGCTGCTATTCACTCATTCCTGTTTAACCATGACTCAATCTTCTCGTGAACTTGGCTGATGCCCTAACAATGTGCTATCTATTATTAAACGGCCTCAGTCTAGCGCCCCCGGGGTGTTAACGCTAATTACCGTTAATTTTTGGCACGTGGGTGTATTTAAATTTTAGCTATATCTCTGATGTCAGTGGGCCGTTTGTGATATTACACTTGACACAAATTGCAAGGTATTTATGATTATAACAACAAGAAAACGTGGCAACGACAATTGCCAGAAAATCAGGTACAGGTTCAGTCATCAGTCAATGAGCGTCATTAGAGTTATATTATTTCAGCTGTTATTTTTCATTATATTTAATCTTTTTTTCGCGTTTCTTGAGTTTAGAAAGGCGTCTAGTTGTGTTGGTAATTTAATAATTTGAAAGAAATCGTTATTTTATCCATGGACATGGTCTATGTATTTTGCAGGTGAGTGTATTTAAAAATATATATAAGAACAACAGAATTTTGTAAAATTAAAGACCTAATCGTGCGCCAGCCTTTTGCCCTGAAAGAAAACCAAAAGACTCGTTTCAACCACAAGACATTATAGCTGTGGCTTGTTAGCCTGCGTGGCAAGCTTTTCCAATTGATTTACGAGCGAAAACAGGAATGGAAGAAGTGGAATAATGGAGAAGTCAGTTCTTCCTCCACCCTTTATTCCTCATTTTGCTCTTGTCCTAACTGCTACGCAGGCTAATCTTATAACATCCGTATTTCTTTCAGTTACAATGTATGCTTGTTAGAATTAATGTTATCCATATTGCAATTTTCAGATTTCCGGAAAATGGCTTAATAACACTAAGATGTAATTATAGCCGCTAAATTTAATTTATGTACTATGTGTATAATTTTGATAGTCTCAAACTGATCCTGCCACAACGATAGAGTATAGGTAGTAACTTTTTAATTGTGCCAGGCTCGGTCAGTGCAGACGAACGAATAAGCAAGCGAGCAGTGAAATAGCGAACGAGCCTAAAAACGGCGGATTGCTCCGTCTCTTTCCAGCCATCAGGCGGTTTTCGCCCAACTTTCCTCGATTCGCAAGTTCCTCTCAATATTGGAGCTTTTTTGTTATATAATTTCAGTGATTTCTCTGTTACGAATTTTAAATTCATCACGGTCACTTTAGATCACTTTTGAAATATATATGTTATATACGAAACGTCAGTTTCAAAAATGCGAAAGTTCACAATGTTTTTAAGGGTAGTAGGAAAAAGCATCTAAAACATCTTTCTGTTTATCAATTATTAGAGCTAATCAATTCCTCTTGAAAATTTTCAGTGTTTCTTCACCGAGAAGGATAAGCTGAATGACATGACAAAGCAAACTAAGCACCGACTTTTAGCGCAGCTATGAACTTCTCCAATGCACAGTTTGTATTTAACGGGACAGAACCCGCGGGATCGAGTCACGAATTTCAAAGTTTGCCTATCATGCTGATTGGTGTTGTGATGACAGTAACAGCAGGAATAGGGAACTTCACATTGTTGCTCACCATATACAAAAATCCTCACAGAAATTTAAGGTCTGCGAGCACAAGTTTGGTTATAAATATGGCCATCGCTGATTTCATGCTGGGAGTTTTTGCGGGAAGTCTTCTTACAGCTCACGACGCCGTGCTGTTCATCGACAAGTCCAAGCACACAGACCGGGTTCATACCTTATTGACGGTTGTCATCTTTACAGGTGTAATGAGCATCACTGTGGGTTGCTGCAACGTGGTTGCAATGGCGTGTGATCGGTGGGTGGCTGTCAGATGGGCGTTGAACTATCGGCACGTAGTAACAGCCAGAGGGATTAAGGTGTCAATAATTCTCTTTTGGATCTATGCAGCTTTGTTTACAAGCCTCGTTTTTGTACCAACTGTCCCGTACGTTGTATTTGAAATGCTTTTCTGCCACCTTCATGTGTCACTTCCACTTCTTGTGCTACCTGTAGTATACTGGAGGACATTCAGTGCACTTGAAGCGCATATGCGTCGAATGAAAGACTTGGAGCCTGGGAGTGAACGGATGAGCCAGAAAACAGCCCAAAGAGAGAGGAACACAACAAAAGCTTTTGTTCTTGTTCTGTGCTTGTTTTATGTGGCTTTCCTTCCCTATGTTATCGCGATCAACTTAAGTAATTTTTGCTTGGATTGTGCAAGTTCAGAGGCGATAGAGACTTTCCTTCAAATTTCTCTAAGGTTTATTTTACTGAATTCCTGTCTCGACCCGTTTGTGTATGCCTGGAGAATCCCTAAATACCGAAGAGCTGTGAGAACCTTATTGAGCAGATACTGTGGCTTCAGGAGACGAGGAAAAAACTCCGTTGGTCCCACAGATATTACTGGAACAACGCTGCACGAGACTCTTGGACAAGACATCACCAACAATGCAACATTTCAGATTAGCAGCGCTATCTTTTAATTTTCATCTTTTAGTTACAAAACTTTGGCGTCAATCTATGGAAATAAAATTACCTAATCTATCTGGACATAGAAAAAGATTTGGACAATGTCCATTCCCAAGGCAAGAAGGCCAGTCCTGCTTTGGACACGGGATAATCAGTTCAAATTCGCTAAGCAAGGTAAAGAGAACTTAATGATAGTAAAACCAGTTACTCAATAAATTATTGGCAAGAGCCGTTGTTTATACATTCCAGTTAGATACGTCCTTTGAGATGATAGCAGTGCAGTTCTCCAAGTACTGTAGTTACTCTCATCGTCGTCAAACATCACAAGCGCCATCAGGGCCAACGTTAACGGAATCCTACAGTTTTACAACAAGCCAACAACAGCAACGACAAACCATTTTATTTGCCAAGTTAAAAAACAGTTTACAAGAACAGAATAAATTAAAGTAGATCAAAAGTAAATCAGGCAAAAAACTACCCAGGATAGAAAAAAACTAAACGAACTCATGAGTAGTTACAAAAATGAAATTGCATTCTTTAGGGTTGTGACACACGAAAGATAAAGAAAAAAAATTAAGGAGAATAATGAATCATAATAAATAAATAAATGAATAAATAAATAAAAATAAAGTTGAAAAAAAAAAAAACGGTACCAGGTAACTATAAAGTTTACATTAATTAGGGTAAATCAACAATGCTAACCAGCATCAAAAGTGGCACTGAGTTTTTTTGGCCGTCGCTTTAGCAGACATGGCCACGTGCACCTTTCCCCTGGATATCTGCTTCCATTTCATAATGCACCTTGTTAGAGCCAACAGTTCGCAACAAACGTTTCATTTGTATACCTGTTGCCGCTGCGATCCGCAGTCTGTGGCAGAAAATGCCACCAACACCTGCGTTCCCAATCGCGTTCCCACATCCCTGAGTAGTCCCGCTCCAGTGGACGCCGGGAAAGTCCTGGGTCGTCGGCAAACGCCAGGGCCATTCAGGATAGCAGTATCAAAATTCTTAAAGTATAAATTTACACGTCAACGTCAGACTTTTCAAAACGCTGTTCCTGTCTATTATAGGTGTTAAAAAGATAGCTCTTAAGGCAACAGCTGCGACCAGAAATAGTTAGAAATAGTTATATATACTTAATATCTTGAGACACAATGACAGCCTGCAACTATTGCAATATCAAAGTTATATTTCGCTAAGTACCATTACGTTTAGTTTTGCGAGGTACTCTAAGCCTATTACGCGCATCATTCATTAAGGTTCTAATTCAATCGCTCACTCATGTCCGTATGTCCGGTTTTTCTCTTGAACGAAGGCTTATTTCCCCGACAGGGAAAACAAACCATTCCATCAGCCGCAATGCACTAAACTAAGAGTTCGCCACGCCCTACTATTAGGGAGCTTCAACCTCGTCCCCCGGGTCTTCTCGCTTTCCAATAAGACCCTGGGGACGAGGTTGAGGGAGCTTTAGCAACGACGACGGCGACGGCGACGGCAACGAGGACGTCAACAAAGCAACTCCAGGGAAATTCGCCTACACTTGCCATTTTCACCAAATTGGAATAAACGCGGCAAAGATTGAAAAAACGGGAATTCATTATAAAACTGACGTTTTCGCTGCCGTTAACGTCGTCGATGCTAAAGCTCCCTATTGAATAACAAGCTCAGTTTCTCTTGGTACACCGCATGCGTCCCTATGTTGTTCAAACAGCTCCTTAAGTTTCTCTTTGTACTCCGAGTGCAGTTTATTTATTCGTTGCTCGCTTGGATTTTCCACTTTCTCCACTGGGATAGGAGATCCAACTGAAAAGGAAGTCAAGAAAAACAGGTTACAGTTAAGATTACTCTAATTATATAATCTACACGGGGTAAAGCCCATCACTACAGACGAGCAAATGTGCCGGTGAAGGTGTTAATATAAAACAAGGTGTAACCCGTTTACGCAAGACACTCCGGCGGTCAATAAAACCAGTTTCGTTTCTTTAAAATTTGGTTTTGTCAAATGATGATAGAGAAGTGTGACTTCCACTATAAAACGTGATGTGAAAACTGATGTTTTAAGATACGATCCCTGTTGTTTCTAACAATGATAAAAAAACATCAGTTTTACTCACGTTTCTCACGGACGCCAAAAGTAACTTCTTCACGTTGAAAGCGACAAACTATTCACAACACTCATAATGATATGCGAGGTTAAAATAATTCAATAATGGGTTCTTTCATGGCTAGTCTAGCGGTCTCACGTGCGATTACGTAATTACCGATAATAAATTCTGGTTTGGCGCGAAAATAGACCATTCTTGCTCAGTTTTTCAGCGGAGCCGCGAAGAGGTGGTCTCTTTTCTTTTGGAAGATACGACCCACGCGATTTTCTTGACGATTTCCTGATGGCTGAGGGTCAACCTCCGGAGCCGAACGTTCAGTTACTTGTCGATCCTGTAGAGCCAGTCGTGAATCCACCGGTCGTGAACCCGCTAGTGGTGAATCCGCCGGTTGTGAATCCACCGGATGGCAACCAGAATGTTAATGTCGCTCAGCCTCAGGAACTGGAGGTAGTTCTCTTTTAGTTGTTATGAATTCTTTCGTGGCATATTTCTCTTGTCTGTCGTATCTTTCAGGTTCTTCACACAGCATGGTGGAGAGAATAACGGAGAGCTTTTGGCCCGATCGCGGCCTGTTATCGAAATCTTTTCGGAAGATTGTCGGGTTATTCCGCGTGGCTAGTTAACGAACTAGCGTTCGGCGTCTGGCTTGTGGCTGGAGGAACGCCGTGGATTCGCTTATTTTGTATTTCTTTCGGCCTTTGTGGTCGTTGGATGGTTACAAAACCGTACGAGCGAGGTGGCCGATTTGTTCGGCGGTGGCTAGTTGACGGATTAGCGGTCGGCGCCTGGCTCTTGGCTAGAGGAACGCCGTGGACTCGCTTGTTTGTATTTTCTTCGGCCTTTGTGGTCGTTGGATGGTTACAAACCGTACAGGCGAGGTGGCCGATTTGTTCGGCGGTGGTTGGTTGACGGACCAGCGTTGGGCGTTTAGCTTTTAGCTAGAGGAACGCTGTGGACTCGCTTATTGTACAAGCGACGTGGCCGTTTTGTTCGGCGGTGACATCTAGCTTTTGGCTAGAGAGACGCCGTGAATTCGCTTATTTGTATTTCCTTCAGCCTTTTTGCGGTCGTGGGATGGTTACGAATGGTGACAGCGAGGTGTCATTTGTGTTTTGTCTTTTCCTTCGGCTGATGTGGCCTTTGGATGTTTGTTATGAGTTATGATAATGGGTCATCGTTAATTGTTGAACGTTGCTAGGTCGTCTTACTTGTATTTTCTCCTTTGGCTGTGCCTGCCGAAGGATGTTTATACATGGTAACGCGAGAAGTTACGTGATGTTTTTGTTTTTTCACGAGGCCTGTAATGAGGTTTTTTATGCATAACACTGAGTGCTTCGCACATTGAGGTGGGCGGTGATTAAGAGTCTCTTTGTTCCTTTGCAGAGATTGCGTGAGGAGGTGAGACAGTTAAAGCAGTCAGTGGAGGCAGTAACCAACGCGTCGCCTGAGAAGCTCGTGGAACAGATCTTGGCTTATGCTTCCCGCCCGTTGACAGAGTTTAACAAGTATGAGGTGCTTGAGATGCTGGAGACTCTGCATAACAAGGCCGCTGACCGTAATCATGACAGGAAGAACTACTATCGGCTCGTTCATCAGTCGGCGAGGGAAAAGGTGGAGTTGTCGAAGGACCACTTCAAGGACCTTGTTATGCGCCTATTAGGAGACAAGGACCACGAGAGGGTCCTGGATATCGTTTCTAAAGTAGAAAAGAAGTCAAATCGCAAGAAGCCTCAAGCGAACGACAACAGGGGTTCTGGTGTGGCACGTCCGTCTCGTCTATTTTCTTTGCGATGTTATTTTTGTCATAGGCGAGGTCATATCAAAGCTGATTGTCCTGATTTGAAGTCCAAGCAGAGGAAAACGGATCCCAAATCAGACAAGTAGCTTGTGTTTAGATCTCGTTAGTTCGCACCGGTGTTATAGGTTGAAGGCCGCCTGGACAAGGCTGTGTGTTGTAATATTGCTTAATTCTTTGCGATAATAAACAAACTTTTGTGTGTATTGAATCAATCTAGTGCATATTTTACTCTGTCTATTTTGTCAGCATAGTTATAACGACTTTGAAAAAGGGGTATCCTTGAGACAAGGGCCCTCCAGCCTCGCTGGTCTTAGCTGTTATTTCTCTGCTGACTTTGACGGGGATGATTTTAATATGGTCTTAGATTTTTCGGCGATTCAGTGTTTAAAGGTGTCTTCACTACCCCTTTTTCCTAGGGAAACATGTGGTGTTGGGAAAAATCTGACTCCTTTGATCTTCGACTTCAGGAGTTACGAGGCAAAGAAATTGAGCTTCCAATGTCCTGGGTCGATTGTTTCGGTAACCCCGTCGAGGTCAGTGGAGAAGTGACAGCCTGTGACCGTGTTAGATTACAGAGGATACAGAGGGGAGAGTTAATTGGTGATATTTCGGAGTTATTGTTCCGTGACCCACATTGTTTTCGAGCTGGAGAATTGCATAACCATTTCGAGTATTGGCAGTACATTGCGCGAGATAGCTCGTCACCCCAACAGGCACAGATTCTTGGGTGGATAAGGGACAAGGTCTCGATTAAGCCGTTTTTCAAGCATTTTAAAGGAAGTTTTAAAGGAGAATTGTTCGATTCAGACGAGCCTCCGATGAAGGTGTTTAAGAACAATGTCTCTTGCAAGCCTTTTGTGTCATTTGTGGAGGAAACGTTAGTTGCGCGCTTGAGATCTGGAGCTATTTCGCTGTTGGGGAGAGTGGGTGTGGTTGACCCTCCATTTATTGTTCTTCCCCTTACAGTTGAGCCAACAAAGCCAAGGTTATGTCACGATGCGCGCTATCTTAATTTATGGATGCGTGATATGCCTTTCTCTTTAGACAGGCTGATAGATTTACCGCGTTACGTGGGCAAGGATACCTACCAAACGGTCCTAGACGATAAGTCTGGCTATGACCATATTCTTCTTTCTGAAGACAGCCGCACGTATTTTGGGATCCAATGGGGAGGGTGGTATTTCACGTATAATACCCTTCCTTTTGGGTGGAAGATCTCCCCGTTTGTATATCATACTACTGGCCTGTTGGCTAGTAATTTCCTTAGAGCTATAGGAATCCCTTGTTTGCTCTACATCGATGATCGACACAATGGCGAACTGCAGGTGGCACTCGATAAGGGGGAATACGCTACTATTAACACTGTTGATGATCGTCATCTTGCGGCGGCTAGGTCGGCTATATTTCTTGTTGCTTACCATCTTGTCAGCTTGGGCTATTTCCTTGGTTTGCAAAAGTCAATATTGTTCCCAAGTAAAGTGGTTCCCTACCTTGGTTTTTTAGCGGATTCTTCTAGGGAGGTGTTCTGCTTAAAGCCGGAAAAGAAGGAGAAATTCTTGCAACTTGTCCGTGAAATACTCCATGCCTCTAAGGTTACGGTGAAAACCTTGCAACGCCTGGTTGGGAAATGTGTCTCTTTTAGTCTAGCAGTACCTGCAGCCCAGTTGTTTACGAAGCAGATGAATGCAGCTATTGCCGGTGGCCAACGTACTCCCCACAGGCTAATACCCATCAGGGGGGATCTGCGTGAGGAGATCTCCCATTGGCTGTTTTTGGAGGGTTGGGATGATCCGGTAACATGGCGGGATGAGCGTCATATTCGTGTGTCCGTTGCAACTGATGCTTCCGCATCAGGCTGGGGTGCTATTTTGTTAGCCCCTCATCGTGAGGAAATATCAGATTATTGGACGGAAGAGCAGTGCAAATGGGGGATCGCCGCGAAGGAAGCTATTGCGGTCGACATGGCGTTAATGGCTTTTAAAGACAAACTGTTCAATGCTAGAGTTGATGCTTTTGTTGACAATAAGGCCGTTGTCGAGGCTTGGAACAACCAGGGTGGTAGAAGCTTGGAGCTTAATATGGCATTGAAACGGCTTTTCTTCACAACGTCGAAGCTTAGCTTATCTCTGCACATGTCTTACATTCCGACTGGTCAGAATCCTGCTGATGCTCCATCAAGGCGCCTGTCCCACTCAGATAGTAAATTGTCGGATGGCTTGTGGCAGATTGTTCAGAAGGAGTTTGGTGGTAGGGAAGGCCATACTTGCGACCTTATGGCCTTGGATTCGAATAGTATGACGGATGCGCACGGGTATTCTCTCCCTCATTTTACGCCGATTCCCTCTCCCGGATCGTCTGGTGTAAATCTCTTCACACAGGACCTTGCTTCCCTCGGAGCGCTTATGGCCAGACCGTATGTTTTTCCTCCCATGGCCTTAACGGGACCTGTCTTAAAATTTCTGCAGAGTTTTAAACAGTCGTGCACAGTAGTGGTGCTGGACGTGTTTCCTAAGAAGTACTGGTGGCCTCTCCTTATGAATAAAGCTGTAAAGAGTAGATGTCTGGCTGTTCGTGGCGATGGCAACGCTCTCTTGGTCCCGTCCAAAAAGGGGTGGCTGCCTCACAAGGGCATTCCTGGAGATCTCTGGGTTTTTGCAGTGTGTTTTTAGGTGTGTCTTGGCATACATTTTGACCTGTTGTGCTACTGGTTTGTGGTGTATGATAGGGTTCTTCTTTTCTGGTTTGTAGGAGCTTCCAGTCATGGCAAAGCTGTTTGTCCAGTCGGTTAAATGCCCAACCTGTGGACACGCTAATGATTTTGACTTCCGTTTTTGTCAACGTTGTGGCTACAAGCGAAAGGTTATGACAACGCTTGGCAAGGAACACTCTGATGTTATCGTTGACCTTGATGGAATTGAAGTGCGGTTGCAGCAGTTACTTCACTACGATCAGGCAACCAGTTATAAAAAGCAGAAGGATTCTCTTCAGAGGGAACTTGAGGCTTTTCTTGGTGCTCTGCCGGGTTTTGTTACTCTCGCGACAGTGACGCCTAGGGACTTGTGTCGCTTCCTGATCTTTAAAGACAAGCGTGGCAAAACACAGGTACACCTCAATACGTGTGAATTTTTGGGTCAGCATGGTAAACAGTCATGTGGCTGCCCCTTGAGATTGTCGTACAAGACTGTGGACTCTTACATAGGAAAGTTAAGATCGATTTTCCATTCCATTGGTCGGGACGGAGAGTGGGACAAGCGGCTAGGTCTTGGTAACCCAGCCTCTGATAAATTGGTTAAAGATTACCTTCGTCTTGTCACAGCGGAGCAGTTACAGGCCCGTGTTACTCCAAAACAAGCCACGCCATTCTTTGTGGACAAATTGACTCAGTTATCGAAGTATCTTGAAGGCGAGCTAGCGAGATCAAAGTCGAAACTTGACCGTTTCATTATCGCACGTGACCAAGCTTATTTTAAGTTGGCGTTCTTTAGTGGGGACCGCCCAGGAGATCTTGGTCAGGTAAAAGTTCCGGAGATCCTTCGTTTTCCAAATGATGATGGGTTCTTATTTAATCATATCTGGGGTAAGACTTTGCGGGATGGTGACAGTAATGTCTTTGGTGTTCGCAGAAATCCCCAGTCGGTCATCTGTCCTGTGAAGGGCGTTGAGCAATATGTCGAAGTGGCAAGGGAGTTAGGCGTTGATTTAACAAAGGGATATTTGTTTCGTCCGACAACTTCTAATAATGGTGTCCAAGATTCTCCATTTAGTTCTTCAGCAGCAGATGCGCGTCTTAAAGTGTATCTCAAGCAGATGAAAGCTGATGATGGTGAGACATTGCATGGCTTTCGTTCGGGTTGTGCGATAACGTTGGCCCTCACAGGAGCGGATCTGTCTGAGATTATGGAACACGTGGGTTGGGCTAGGAGGCATACCGCCTTATATTACCTTCAGCTGGCCAAGGTTCTGAAACATGATGGCCCGTCGGGACGACTTGCTACGCCTTCTGCTGAGAATGTGGTGGCTCCATGGCAGGATGTGAATCAGCTGAAACGTTTTGTGTGTGCTTTTCCAGCTGCTGAGCAGAGGAAACGCCCAGCAGAATGAGGATACTTTGTTTGGCTAGGGTGTTTTTGGAATGGATTATAACCTTTGTACTATCGTTTCTTTAATGAAGAGATGTTGTTATGGAAACTCATACCAGTTTAGTTTGATTATAATTGTAAACGTATAGCTGTGTCTTACTGTACTTGGGGATTAAAGTTATGAGAGGGGTTGGAGGATTGAGGATTGGGAAGTTGTAAGAGGATTTGAGAGTCGGAGTGCAATTATCTAAGACTATTTAAGGAACAGTGAGGGCTGTTGGGCGCTGATCAATCTTTTTTCCCATACCTTATTAGAACTGAGCATGAATATGAATGTATGTGAATAGAATACTATTCACAACACTCATAATGATATGCGAGGTTAAAATAATTCAATAATGGGTTCTTTCATGGCTAGTCTAGCGGTCTCACGTGCGATTACGTAATTACCGATAATAAATTCTGGTTTGGCGCGAAAATAGACCATTCTTGCTCAGTTTTTCAGCGGAGCCGCGAAGAGGTGGACGGCCCACCCAGTCCCGCCCAAAAATCGCGTGAGTCGTATCTTGAACTCTTCCTAAGCCAAGCTGTTCCAGCTTGGCTTAGTCCGCTGATCAATCTTTTTTCCCATACCTTATTAGAACTGAGCATGAATATGAATGTATGTGAATAGAATACTAACGCAAACAATGGCGGGAAAATGACCGAGTGATTATCGTACCATTTGCGGATAGTGGAGTGCAACCCCTCGCCATTTTTTCTTTCTTCTTCCTTTGTGTCATCTCTACTATCTGAACGCCTAGAACAGGCCTTCGTAAATGTGGTGCAATGTTCTAACTTTTTATAGTATTATTTGGAACTTACCAACAACAGTAATAGGATGTGGATAGGGCATGACCCCAAAACGCGCAAACATGACCTGCATGACACCTTTCAAGAAAACCTTTGACCACTTCTCCCACTTGCTGCGTCCAGGTTTGTATCTTAACAGGTAGTCGATTTTCGGCTGTTTATTAAACACGTCGTTTTGCCCAAATCCAAATACTGGAACCAAGGAAGACCTTGAAGTATAGCAAAGAAACAGTTTCTTAGTTATCACCAGTTCAAAGAACAAACAGGGTATTAAAGGATTGAGGCATTTTCTGATACGTCTGACGATAAACAACAGAATAAAGTCATGTTCTCTGCGATGTTAAAAAGTACCATGGAAAAAATTGCTCAGATTTGTTCAGTTTTTAGTATCCCATCTGATTCCTGAAGGAGACTGTACTCAAATAAGAGCTACAGTGATTTTCAAAGTGCTAAAGGTCTTTAGCATCAAATGCTGTTTTCAACACACTTTGACAGTGCCCGGGTTTGGTTTCTGTAGATAATTCTTTATACAAAGCCCTAAGTTACAATGGTATGGGTCAAAATAGGGGCTTTTTGATCCAGAACAGCCTAAGTGAGACCAAACTCTGCGATTTCTACCACTAATACAGGAGTCTCCCTTGAGGAAAATATTCCTCTCATTACATTCGCCATTCCCCTACCACATTCAAAGAAAGAGGAATGTTACCCAGTCTCCAAGGCCAGCTTAATGAAGCCTCTTCGTCTTTCTAAAGTAAGAATATAGGAGCCAGGGAATAGGTTAAGAACTTCAGAGGCACCTCCAACAACAATGGCAACCGAATGTCCAGGACCCTGCTGAGTCAGTACAAACTTGCAGCTTTCCTGGCTGACATTTACCACTCCAAGACCCATTACAATTTCACGAAAGATTGGAGACCAACCCATAACTGTGGAAAAGAAGTAAAAAATACTCAGAAACTCTATTCCGCAGCTCCCACAGGAGCAGAGAAATAGATAAGTGCTTAATTAACTTTTTTTATTAACTTGCACTCAAGGCAGGTGAGGTGAGAATCAACCCCTATGTCTTACTCCGAGTTAATATCATAGACTGCTTGCAGTCCGCCTTTCCTCTTAAAATCCATCTAGTTCTTGTCTCATCCAGCGCGATTGCAAACCACGACATTATTATTACAATAAGGGATTGAGACCAGATGAGAAAAGACGGACTGCTGACTCTTTTGTAGTAAACAAACCCTCCGTCAGCCCAGAAACGGAGAAACCGATTGGTCAATTGCACAGCTGTTGACAGATAACTGACTGGTCTGTGGTGGGATTGCAAGCAATAAAAATAGTCACACTTGACAACCAACTGCAAACATAGGGAACCAAGCAGTAATGTCAGTAATAAAACTTTTAAGGATATCTTACAGAAGGAGACTGCTGTAAATTTCCTCAAGGGAAACGAATTCAAGGCAATCATGCTGGATTTAAAGAAAGTGTAAATTTTTCAGTTGTTTTTGTTCTATTTATAAATCATTTCAAGTTACTCAGGTTTCATTGATTAATTAAATTACGTTGACAGCTTGGTTGTCCCCCGACAAAACAAAGGAGTCAGCAGTCTCTTAATTTTTCTTCTCGGGCTTACACCCTCGTTTTTCACGTGCACTAACTTCGCAAAGAAAAATAAGAGACTGCTCGCAGTCTATTAATATCATTGACCCCAAGGCGTACTTCTACAGACCAACTGATAACAATGAGGTACTATAGTGGGAATCTAAATACAGTCAAACCCAGCGGCCACTGAGGGGCATGAAGGAGTACATGTGGGGCAAAAATTGAGCATGCAAAATGCATTCTTGTTTGCCCAAATTCCTCAAACATCTTCAACCCAGGCTAAGTTTCATGAGAAAGCATGTGCTGCCCAAATGACCCCATTTATTAAAGGGGTTACCTTCCTCACTCTAATAGCATCCAAGCTTTCTCCCCTAGCAGAAGGAATGAGTAGAAGGAATTTATCAATTTTCTGAAACTGTCAAACTGTTGGCTGCAATTTGGCTCAAGTCAAAAATATTTATCTAAAACTGATAAGGTGGGTAATCTCATATCCAGATCTTCCACAGCCAAGCAGCGTAAGAAAGGGTAAGATCTGGGCATGAGGAGGTGGGATCACTCCCATTCTCTTGTAGTTGTTGTTGTTGTTGTTTTGCACTAATGTACATACTCCTATTGTTCTAATATGGATACATACATGAATGCACTCCAATGTAAGGGACAACTCCCGGGAATTTCTTGCTGAATTGCAAAGCTTCTGATCCAAAGCCAATGGCTAGACCATCTGGGATAGCACCATGTGGATGATAGCAAAATATGTAGTTTCTCGCTGGGTCGAGCTGTGTGGTCTTGATCAAACTTATTGGAAAATAATCTCTCATATAATCAAACAATGGATTGTTTCTAACGAACTCCGCTCTTCGACCTCCACGGCTAAAGGTCTTAAGGTCAATAAAATATACCCACGTCAAATAAAGGACACAGAACGGCCAAATAATAAACAAACGATTAATTACCACATAAACTATAAGTGCTCCAAACACAAATAACGTACCAAAGACCAAAATCCAGTAGAAAACTAGCACGCTTAATCCTTGAAGAAGTCGAACTTTTTGAGTAGCAAGATAACGGAAGAGGCCAGACATTGTCACTGTACTTGCAGAAGATTCACCGTGGCCAGTTTTCGTTTCCGGTTTGACTCTGATGTTTCGCTACAAAAATCTCCTATAATTTCTTCTATAGCTGGACTTGAAATCCTCACAGGCATACACTAAACATTATGAGGTCATGATCAAGAGGCTTGGTTTTGTAATCCGTTGTTGAACGTTCAGGAGGCTTTTCAAGGTGTTTATCTCTTCGCGTTGCGTGACAAGCTGTCGGGAGGGACAGGGAGGCCTGGGGCCCGTTTCTTCAAAGACCCGATGGCAGTCCCGATATCTTTTCGAGCCCGAAATCAAATATTAAAATCGATATAAAAAGAATAAGAGCGCGGGTTGGCTAGCAAAATAGGCCATTTCGTTTCATTAACTGATAGTTTTCTCATGTAAGTTGCAAACCTATTGAAACCTCTATCTTTCATGTAAACATCAACAGCTTTATGGGTTCGTTTAATAATTATCGGGACTTTCGAGAAACAGGCGCCTGGGGCGGTTAAAGACGCTGGATACAGACGCATTAAACGTCTGACTGTGCATGTTAAGTGCGTCGTTAAGTGCGTCCCGTTTTTATATGTTTTATATATTTTTTAAATATTTTTTATATTTTTTATTTTTATTTGTCCATAGTTTTCGGCACGATAACGTATGCTAATTTGAAAAAAAGAGAAAACAAAAACTAAGTAAAATAAAAATTTTACTGCTTCATATATATATGTACAACTTATATACTAAACAGCACTAAAAAATGAATTTAGAACCAGTAAAGCATTTCAAAAGAATGACGTCATCATCATCATTATTAATATTAATTGTTGTTATATAAGATTACTATTTATTACCATTACATCATCATCATCATCATCATCATCATCATTATTATTATTATTATTATTATTATCATTTTATTGATATACATTTCTTTATTAAATTATGCATGCGCTATATAGTGACTGCTGAATCTAAGTCTTTGTTTAATTACGGAAACGACATTTCCTGGGGCCGGAAATCAGAAAAATCCGGACTGGGATTTCTAGCGATGTGGGCGTGGGTTTGGGATAGCAGGAATAAACGTCTCAGACGTCCTCTAGTATAAATACGGCCAATTTGACAATAAGACTCAAGACCTGACAAATATACCCTGCTCAGCGGCACATATTCGTCTATGCCCTCTCTGGAATAAAATAATGCAACTGATGGTATTTTTTATTAGGCTNTCTAGTATAAATACGGCCAATTTGACAATAAGACTCAAGACCTGACAAATATACCCTGCTCAGCGGCACATATTCGTCTATGCCCTCTCTGGAATAAAATAATGCAACTGATGGTATTTTTTATTAGGCTGCCTGTGGCCAAATCAAAAAATTAGTCGTGTCTATGTCGAAAAAAGACAAAATGGCGAACGAATCTCCTAGAACGTGTCCTATTCCCCTTGCAGTGGGACCGACTTCTGTGAGGAGGGGGTCCCTAAGTTTTTACCATGAATTTTCCATTCATTGAAAGCCGAAACGTGTGTTTTTTCTATAGTTTATATTCGGTTTAGGAGCAGCTTTAAAGTCAGCGTAGAAAATATTAGACCACTGCAGCCCAATACACGGGAAGTATACGCGTCTCGTTTTGTCACAAATAGGTAAGATTTTTAACTGCAACAATACTTTAACGAGACATTTCTTGTGAATTGGACCTTGGGCAAAGCCTGTGGATGATGTTTATCACATAACGTTAGTCCAGGATTTTCTTTGGATAGAGTAATTTCGTATTATGCTATAACCTTCTTATTTTTACCCTTAAAAAAACATTATGTAAGCTGCCTCTGAAGTACCATTTCGAGTTTTCTTTCGTTTAATTCCGCGCAGCCAAGCCTAAAAACGCACCAACCCATCGCTCTGTCAGATACGATTACCCTCTTTTTTAAAACGTAGGCTTAACAAGACATTTAACTAGCCGCAAAGCACTGAGCTAAGACTTCGCCAAGCACTACTACTGAATAATGAGCTCAGTCTCTCTTGGTACACCGCATGTATCCCTGTGTTGTTCAAACAGCTCTATAAGTTTCTCTTTGTACTCCGAGTGCAGTTTATTTATTTGTTGCTCGCTTGGATTTTCCACTTTCTCCACTGGGATAGGAGATCCAACTGAAAAGGAAATCAAGAAAAACAGGTTACAATGAAGACTACTCTACTCTGATTCTGCTAATTATTGTTGTAATTGTTTAATCTACAAAGGGTACAGCCGATCATTGTACATGTGCAAATGTGCACTCAGGTGACCTCTAGTAAAGACGGCTTCCTACTCGAGTTGAAATCAGTTGCTGCAACACGTTTTGCTTCTCTGGCGGAATTAAGATTTCGTTTTACCAACTTCTGATGTAAAGAAAAGAGTTATTACCATTAAGATCCATCAAGTGATTTACAAACTGATGTTTCGAGCGTACCCAAATCTAACGAGAACTGCATACATTGTGAGTCAAAGTGATGAAATCACCCCCCAACCCCCCCCCCCCCCCCCCCCCCCACACCCCCCC